CGCGTCCGTTTGCAATATCGTAGAATGTTAGTGCGTACTCCGGAGCAGTTTATTCGGATATTCATATCGTTCTATCGAACTAGTGAGAGTGGGCGCCACAGTGATGCGACTTGCGACAAGACTTTTCAAGACACGATCACTTCATTACAACGCCACGCAATGACAAAATGTTTGCTTGAATCATAGAGGATAAGAATAGAGTGGGGAAGGCAGCTCTAAGTGTCCGTCTAGTAGAAAGAGAAAGAAGATGAGTGAATGGCATCACATCGAAATAGAGCTTACAGTTGCCAATGCGCATGCGCGATTAGGGAGAGAAAGCTGGCGGTCTCTCATCTTCTTTCTCTTTCTATTAGAGGGACACTTCGACTTGTAGTAGAGTCTATATCTCCCCTACTCTATTCTTATACCTCTATGGCTTGAATACTGTGCAAATGACATCGTATCTTTAATTTTCACGCAACACCACTCATTAAATAAAACACGCTTAAACACGGGTTTAAAATGCGTATTTTAATTACTTTTTTGACGTTTCACATCCTCTTCAGGCTGCGTTCTCACTTCAATATCAAATAGCTTACAGGCTTTTGGTGCCTGAGCTTAGTGGATGTTGAAATGATAAAATTGTTACCAAAAATTATGAGTTTATAACTCGTTTACAAATATTGTTAAATCACTGCAATAATGTTATTTTGTTAATGAATGCATCCGTATAGGCGTCGAAATCTACATTAATTTTTAGTATTTTTCGCTGTGCATGCGGCTAATGACCTAAATAAGGCCAGGTGCCGTGACGGTGTCAATTATTGCAAATATGCAAAATATAAATGTTCGGTTATTGCACCGAACACAGGCAATATCCTAAGTTTTTCTTAATATAACGCAACCGCACATTGAGTCAGTAGTCGCAGCCACGAAACGCAACCACTAGTGGCTCAGTCAAGCCACTAGATGCAGCCACCAATCGCATTCGCTAGTTGCTTATTGACGGCGTATCATAGCCGCCACTTTTCGCTGAACTCCGTTCGCATGGTTGTGAAATCGAAACACTATTGATTTCGTTGGGGTTGATTATTTATTATACTGAGACGTAGAAAACGTTGTCGAATTCAAAACCATTGACTAACAGTTTATCATAGTACTGTGGCCAAGTGAGCGCGATGAGAGTAACAAAAGGCGGCCACACAAGTAGCGAACTCAGGCGACTCCCGCAGTTTGAGTCTCGAACGCTTAGTTTGCGCCTATATTAAAAGAAAATGTAAAAAAAAACTTGTGGACGCGTTAAGTAACCGACACTTGTGCAATTGAGCTCAGTGGTAACCGTAGTCCATGGCTGCCTGCCACACCAGAAGGAAGTACCTAACGCACGTTGCTCACAAGATCCTTCAAGAACTTCATCACGCCTATTTTGATGAAACCCATGCTGTATTGCTTTGAGGAACCTCCTATGAGGGAGCTTATTCTACAGTTGAATGATACGCGAGAGGAAATGTCACTGAAAATATACAGCGGTAGAAGATGGTTATTCAATCATTATCATCAGCATCATCTATTCAAAAGACGATTTGAACGCGACCAAAAAGCATGGCTAATTGTTGGTTTTTTGTTGCCCTAGATGTTCAATCCTAAATAAAGGGCTTAGGCATGATGGGAGTACTTAACAAGGTGCAAGATTGCCCCCCTTTTTAATTCTGCCACGCTCTAGTAAATCTCAAAACCCCTGCTGGGGCTACCCTACTATAGAGTTAGCTGTACAGATGAAAAGGAGTTGGAAGAGTAGGCAATGCGCGAGATATGGATAAAGAGAACGCATGGATGCCGCTTATCAAAAAAAGTCTAACAGACAGAGGTGACCTGCCCTTATTGGTGGTTCTTGTTTGACCACCCGCACTGCAAACTAATACAACTGGCCGCCACCCGACCGCGACTGCAGGCTGCCTCTGTCTGATAGACACTTTAAGCGTCACATATTAACTATCCTTGACCCATCAAAAGTAGTATGAATCTCATGTGATTTTGCAGTTTTCCAGTTGCCCATTTACTGCGAAAATATGTAGGTACTTAGCGCAGCTTATTAGGAGCTCAATGGCACAGGTAGCACGTTCCACTTGCGATCACTAGATGGGTGACCATAAACTTTTTATTTCAACCTACTCCATGCTGCGAAAGGTACGTTAATCCTTTGGTCCCGGCTGCATCTGGAGCCGTTAGTACCTACCAATTTGCACTGGGCGCGCGTGATTACTCACGGCCAAATCGTCCTATTCCATCCATAGGGAAGGCCCGTGTCCCGGCAGTGGGGACAATAATAGACTGGTGATGATGATGCAGCTTAAGCCTTTAAACTTCTTTCAAGAAAAAGTTAAATAGAAACTGACGATGCAAAAAACAAACGCGTAAGCATTATAAGAAGGAAAAGATTGTCGCAGTGTCACAATTTGCAAGTGTATGGCGTCCACACCCTCATCAGGAACTTAGTAATTGTAATTCCGAAACAACTTTGGTTGTAAAGTTCATCTTTGCAGCGGGGCTTTTGGCAAATAACTGGCCCTGTAGTGCGAGACTGGTGAGATGACTTTTGAACAGTTTGTATATAGGAAATTTATAACTGTTGTGTAGTTGTTATGTAGTACAGTTATCCTACTGTAGTTATTATAAATGGTAATGTTTGTTTCTAAATCACTAATAACTACTGAACGAATTTAGATGAAGTTTATGACCTGGTTTGAGATGAAGGATTCTTTTTATTTCGGAAAAGTACAAGGTTCCTGTGGGATTCTTAAAAAACTAATGTTAACGCGGACGGAGTCACGGGGGGCCGCTAGTAGATAATTATATTCTAGACAAGTCAGAACGATTATTAACTTTTTCTTTTAAGCATTAGACTGATTCGTTTGATGACCTCCGTGGCCGAATGGTTTGTACGCCAGGTTTTATAGCGTCGCCGACTCGAGAGATCCCGGGTTCGAATCCCGGTGGGGGCAGATGCTTGTGTGATGAATACGAGCATTTATACTCCAGTCATGGATGTTTAATATGTATTTCTATATGAGTATACTTATATATGTACAGTATATGTATTCTATACGTTACCCTAGTATCCCATAACACAAGTATATAGTGCTTACTTTGGGGCTAGGTTAATTGGTGAGTCTTGGAAATATTTATTTATTTAAATGTCCTCCCTGTACATGTACTTTTTTGTTAACAATTTCATAGCCCACGTCAATTGTAATGCTTTAACGATATTGATACGTGCGAGATTTGACAAGTCTAAAACTTTGTAAAAGGGGATGGCCCATATGTGGTGCACTCACGCCTTATCTAGACCGCGAAATGCGAATATATGTGGGTTATGCACGGGGGTGTTAAACCGATTCATATTTATATGAAAAGAAAATGTTACTAGGGATATAATTATGATAGTCTTCAGGTCAAAAAGTCAAAAATTCATAAATATTTTTTTATCACATCCATTCGAAAGGAAATAGTTTGATCTCTGTTTACAGGTAACAAAATAGCATTTTAATCTAGAGAATAAAAGTGATTTGAATTAGAAATTTGAATTTTGTTACTAAAAGTTCCAATCGCCAAAGAGATCAATTACAAAATTATAAGAAGCGCGAAAACCGCGCGCTCGCCAATTTTTTTTCTAGTTCTATTCTTTCCTATTGGGAAAGGCAAAGGCAAAGCCATGCAGCCATTGTCTTATTTTTGTATTAATATTCCATTTTTACATAAGATTGTGGGTGTGACCCATTCTAATGTTTCTTGGACTGTTTGGCATAAAATGTACCGAGTCAGCTTTCTAGACAAGCTTCTGTGAGGTAGTCAACACTACAATAAAGTTCTCTCATCCACTGAACCGATAAAGCGAATATTATAAAGATTCCGTTAATTCTTCAGTTGCTCAGACGATTGTAACACAAAATCACACCAATATTATTTCACAATATCCACTGTGAACGAATTTAAAGAATATTTGAAATATGACACCTACCGCACTCGATGAAATCCCGCCGAAAACAGCTCCCAAATTAAAAAGAAAATTTGTGTAAAATACTAGCAAATGCGCGAAGTGCATTTCGCCTTCGTTCATTAATTTTTAACTATTTTTTTTATTTAGTATTATGAAAAACTGTCTTCCTCGGGTAGTGAGAATGGAAGTATTCTAAAAATGTGATAGTCTTTTTAGTCTAGTCAAAATAGACATTTGACGGAGGAATAATTCGCATAGAGCTGAAAATTGGCAGAGACGTTAAATACATCAACGTTGGTAAACAGTAAAATAAAAGATACTAGTATAAATTAACGATGCGATGGCCAACTTGATTTCGCTACTGGGTGTGCTCTGCTTATCATCCAATCATCATCATCAGCCTATTAATGTCACCACTGCTGGGGCACAGGCCTTCCCTATGGATGGAATAGGAAGATTGGGCCATGACCCACCACTCAGGCCCAGTGCAGAATTGACGGGTGCTAACGACTGCAGATGCAGCCAAGACCAATGGCTTAACGTGCCTTCCGAAGCACGGAGGAACTCGAGATAGAAGATTTTTGGTCACCCATCCAATGACTGACCACTGCGAAAGTTGCTTAACTTCAACGATCGCAGCCGAACGCGCTAACCACTCGCGCCATTGAACTTAAAACACTCTGTAGAGCGTTGCCAACCTTTTAAGCATTAGTATGTTTTTTTCGTGCTGCGTTCAGTTTGCGATTGTGGTATACAGTTTCGGAAGGCTCATTAAAACGTTTTTTAGGGTCATCATGACGACATCATGACTGACGACCTCCGTGGCCGAGTGGTTTCTACGCCGGGTTTCATTGTGTCACCGACTCGAGAGGTCCCGGGTTCGAATCCCGGTGGGGGCAGATGTTTGTGTGATGAATACGAGCATTTGTACTCCAGTCATGGATGTTTAATATGTATTTCTATATAAATATACTTATATTTGTATTCTATCCGTTACCCTAGTATCCCATAACACAAGCCTTACAGTGCTTACTTTGGGGCTAGGCTAATTGGTGTGAGTGTTGGAAATATTTATTATTTATTCATTCATTATCATCATCGTCATCCGAACATGGCAGGTTAAAAATAATATTTCAAGTAACAAAAAATAGGTATTATTTCATTAAAATAACATAATTTTACAAGTATACTTAAAACAAAAAAGTTATTTATCAAAATACATAAGGGTACAAATACACAGCGCCAACCCGAAAGTTATAAGAAGAGTGTTCTTCAAAAGCCGCCATCTGTAACAAAGAAGAAAATAATGGCGCGAATACCAGTGCCAATGGAATTTCGGTAAATGACTAAGTGTAAATGAACAGAGTCGATTACGCTCGTATTCGGGTAGATTTCGTTTTTGTTTTCCCGAAATCGTCTTCCCGTAGTCCCGTGTAAATATTCCTTCGGGTGCCCGAATTCGAGTAATGTCTTTCGTGCACCCGGATACGGGCTAGCGACCAAATGTAATAGAGCCATTATACACACCTATGTGTAATATTAATAATACAGTATATGTATTCTATCCGTTACCCTAGCGTCCCATAACACAAGCCTACAGTGCTTACTCTGGGGCTAGGCTAATTGATGCGAGTGTTGAAAATATTTATTTATTGATTTACCTTACAGAGCCCTGTCCACGTGGTCTCCAAGTCACCAAACTCTCTATCAAAGCAGGTACAATGAATGTCGTTATCGACAGAAAAAAGTTACCCATCTGAAATAAAATATGTTATATCTATATAAATTAATACGTAACTTTTGCTTCATTTCAATTCAATTCAATTCATTTATTGCAGACCATAATGGAGATACAAAGGTGGTAATATTAACAGATAAAAAGTGCATTATGGACCCTGTAGTGTAGGGTATCGCAATTGCAAGAGGAGAGGACGTCTTATTCATAATTCCTTATTGTGATATAATTTGTTATATCCAATGAATTAAAACCATCTCAATCTCTTCATCTCAATAATACATGATTTATTGCCGACTAAAGATACAACCGTAGGTTCAAGTGAGGAACAGTGTAACAAGGGACAACGGACGACACACACACAAACACATGCACAGTTTTATGATTTCTATTTTAAATTTGTTTCTACCATTCATTTTTTCATATATACATATACCTATTATGCTTTTATGGAGTGTTTTAAAATTGTATCGAGGGTTGGATGTCTGGTGTACTAAAATACAGGTAGACTACTGCCTAGTTTAGACTTCAGTCTCCCACAGACACATATGTATATTATAATAACCTATTTTTACTATTATGTCTGTGCAGAAAAATAAATAAAGAATTATTATTCTTATTTAACATAATAAATATCAAGTCTGGCCTTTTATTACACGGCCATCAGGGCCGCGGTAGCATAATGGTCAGTGCATTCGCTCGGATAGCGAAGGGTGCGGGTTCGAGTCCTGTCTGCTGCCTGGTCCATCCATGGCTGCCATGTCAGGTCGTTTTTTTTCTAGTATTTTATTTTTGAGATTTTATTAGTTTTTTAATGCGATGTTAAGCAGCTGTCATCAAATATCAAGTGGCCGAGATTAATACAGAGATATTCCTTTTGTTACTGTTTCCTGTGTACTGTTTCCCTTACACTGTCTCTCACTTGAGCCTAACAAGCATTTAAACGTAACTTCCGATGCAGGAAAGAAGTGGAAAAAGAACTTCTTTGGACACCCATCTAACGACCGGCCAAAATGAAGGTCGCTTAACTATCACAATTGCAAACTGAACGCACCACGGAATAAAACATACTAATATCTGCTCTATAGAGCTTTGCCAACCTTTTAAATACAGTTTGTAATCAAATGTTCGAATAATTAATTCGATTAATACATTGGATCGAATAATTCGAATAATAAATCGAATCTAATATTCGAATATAAACATTCCAATATTCCAATATTGGTAATAAAAATTAAATTAACATGGAGAGGTGGTGTCAAAAATGTCTGCTTTAGACGGTCTTTCATTTAGCATTTTCTGTATCTCTGATTTTAATAAAAATACCTTTAACAAAAGTGGCTACGAATATTTATCGAAATCACCAAAGAGTATAAAACAGTTAAGATTGAAAAAGGAAATACCACGTAATTACAAAATCTTTTAAAATTAATCCGATTAAGTTACCATTCGATCGAGGAGCTCGATAGCGCAAGTGGTTAGCGCTTTCGGCTGCGATCGTTGAAGTTAAGCAACTTTCGCAGTGGTCGGTCATTGGATGGGTGACCAAAAATTACTATCTTGAGCTCCTCCGTGCTTCGGAAGGCACGTTAAGCCGTTGGTCCCGGCTGCATCTGCAGTCGTTAGCACCCACCAATCCGCACTGGGCCCGCATGGTGGGTCATGGCCCAATCTCCCTATGCCATCCATAGGGAAGGCCTGTGCCCCAGCAGTGGGGACATTAATAGGCTGATGATGAAGTTACCATTCAGGGTTCATACTTGATTATTTTAAACTTCCAGCCAGACTTCGTCCGTGTAAACTTTTAGTTTTTTTTTCGAAATGAAAGATTTTTTCTAAAATAAAAGTAGCCTAAGTTACTCCTTATTACATCAGCTACCTGCCAATAAAAGTCCCGTCAAAATCGGTCCAGCCATTTCAGAGAATAGCCGGAACAAACAGACAGACAGACAGTCACACAAAAATTGTAAACATGTTATTTTGGGGTATGTATCGTATCATATGCATGTAGAAAAAAGCGGTTATTTCAATACTACAAACAGACACTCCAATTTCATATATGTAGATAGATTATTTATATTTTTAAGGATATATCAAAAAGGTTAGTCGACGTAGCAGGAGGCCGAAGAGCTGGCAGCTAACTCCGACAAAGAATTAGTCTAGCTATCCAAAGGGGGAACGCTGCCAGTATCTTCGGAACCTTGCCTAAAGGGACTCCTTTTAATAATGTATTTTAATTTTTATATTATATTTTTAAGGTTTTTATTTTTTTATGTTCATTGTTTCTGTATATCTCTCAATAATATTTAATTGTATTTTTCTATTTTTGTGTGAAACTCTTAATAAATTTTAATATGATTATTAAGTACTTACACTTGAATTAAACTCACCAATATCATAAGTCTAATTAAATTCGGGTAAGCCAAAGAAAGACAAGTGATAATTATGACGAGAATACCTCTGTAAATTCTCTCCCACACACCGTGTTTTCTGTTAAAGAAAATAATTCTCATAAAAATACAGATGAAAATTTGAATATTGAATATATTTGAATATTGAAAATAAAAAACTTTAAACAATAAAATCCATACAACTCACAACAAGGAATATAATAATAATAATAAATTTTATTGGCTTGAACAATAATGTGATCTTAAACTAATGACCAGCATCTCCTTTTAAGCTTAAATGCATAGAATTCATATATTTTTATTATATAATGTCTATTACTTTTTAATAGTCGCGCGATTTATCTTTGAGCAAGACATTAATAAATGAAAAGTGTTCGAAAACTTGTGGGAATTACAAATATCTGAAAAGCGACAGAGCGGTTGTGACGTAGAAATATATAACACATCAACAAACAAGCGCCATGATCGCACGATATTTTTATATCAAAGTCAACAAGACCTAATGCGAGTGCATAATGCGCAACAAACCTCATCTGACTGTGAGTTTGTTTCTTTTGCTGCTAGATTGCTATAGACTGTGACATCACAGCAAGAGTTCCAAAGAAAAGTTTTACTAGAAAAAAATCCACGCGAACCAGGCAGCAGACGGGACTCGAACCCGCACCCTTCGCAATCAGAGAAAGAAAGAAAGAAGAAAGAAAAATCAGAGCGAATGCACTGACTAATTATGCTACCACGACCCTGATGGCCGCGTCGAAATTTTCCTAGCATTAAGCTGTAAGGCAGCGCCATCTCTTCGCATTGTAGGTAACCCACAATGTCAAATGAATACTTTTTCAAGTATTAAAAATTTGAAAGAAGAAAATAGCAATTATAGTTATGTTTTTATTTTATTTAAGCATTTAACTGCTAGATGTTTAAATATAAAGAAAAGTTTTACTAGAAATATTAGATTTAAACATGTAGCAGTTAAATGCTTAAATAAAATAAAAAGAGTTCCAAAAGGACACCCGGCATTTTGTGCCAAAGTTGTATACTTTTTTATTTTTTTTATCTGTGTTTCATAATTGGGTAACGTAGTCTGGCAATATTTGTCATCAGCAGCTAGCTGTCAATGGCAAATACGTAGGTTTGTCATCAAAAGGGTTTCCATATCAAAAAATATTAATCATTAAATAACTTCTTTCCACGCTTCACTAAAAATAAGGCAAAAGTAGTTTTATGTAGCAAATAATTTTGGCTTTATTTTGAGACCAAATTCAACTGTATACAAGTTTAGCATTTTTTCTATGAAAAGTGCCGGGTCTCCTTTAATATTTTTAAAGTAGGTAGGTGTATTAAGGGAATATTAACTATCATACTATTATTTCATAATAGTTTCCAAAACTACTTACTCACTGGTAAGCTGTAGGAAAACAAAGATCTTACCTTTTGTGCCTCCTTCCTATGTAATGCCAGATAATCCTAAACGGCACCCAAAAATTAATTGCAAACGACACAATAAGCGCTGCAAGGAAAAGAAAGCCCAATATGATGGGTACTCTGAAAAAAAAAACGTAAAATGTTAGTCTGTGCGGAAAGAGAATGGGCGTGGCGAAAAACGGAACTAACATTAAGATTTTTATTTGGCAATCAAACCCAGCAATCTGTGAAACGTCTATGTTTTGTATTGATACGGATTTGTTTGTTGTTGTGATTTCTTGCGGTTTTTCAATCTCCTCCAATCTAAATCCCATTCTCTTTCCGCGCAGACTCTACCATGAATAGCCTGCGCAGACGAAGGAATTTTCCGTCAGCGATATTCTTTACCCGCTGAAATAGGTCGCTTACAACTGCATCGAGTAACGTACATGACCTTAGATTAAAACAAAAAGGGTAGATACGGTACGCTCGTACTAGCATCAAATAAAATATGATCCGACTCAACTACATAAGCAACTCCCACACACGCACACATCTGTATATAAACATTCAATCGAGCGAGCGAGACAGAACTGTACCCTTAGCACGAACCAATATCCAATTCGTAACGAAACGAACGTCAAACGAAATGTCATTGTCAAATATGTACTGATTTTCAGTTCTAGTTACGTACTTTGTGGCGCTGCTGCTCCAGTTTCCATACAAAATTTGACATTGACGATTAGCACTTGCAAACTATTCGAATTCGACAATGGTTCGTGCTAAGGGTACTGTACGCTTGAACGCAGCGCGAGCAAATCGGCGAGTCCTTTTCTTGATAACAAAATGGCGATTACGTAAAAACATTAACGACAAACCGCGACTTTAGGGAAAAAAATGTTTTTACAGTTTTACGAATGAAAAGTGTCCCTGAGGCATTTGATTTTGAACTATTTGTGTTCTTTAAAAAAGCACCGAAGGCATTGTTTTATCTTTATAACACCGAATATACGCAATATTGTTTTATTGAGTGCACTTGCTGCGTGTTTGAATATCCAATTGTGTGTGACTAAAGCGAATTGTGGTCATGCATCACAATTTAAGCGGATCACTTTTGAACCGCGAGTGCCGTATCTTCCTTTTTTGTTTTAATCTAAGCACACGACGGATTAAAAGCACCGCGTACAAAGAGTCCTCCGAACAACCGAGGACGCCGAGGGACCGGACAGGACAAAAGTACACGGGTGTCCCCAAAAACCATTTAAATCATGTGACTGAGTATAGCTACGCACACAGTGAAATTTAGTCAGCGTTGTGTGCTCGATCTGATTTAAAGGAAAGGACTGTAAGTGTCGCCGCACAAGGGCCACTTACCACAAACACAAAACGCCGCCACCGGCATATTTCTTGTAGTTTTCATACATTTTATATGGACTCGTCACACACGGTACGCCGGTGACCGCCACACGCTACAAATCGTCGTTGCTCGCTTTTTGTGTCCCGCACCGGCAAGGGCGGATCCAGGGGGGGGTGGGGTCATGGGGGTCATGACCCCCCCTGGGCTGGGTACAGATGGACCAAACCCAGGGGGATTTTATTTAAGTACTTTCAATATTTAATATACCACGACTATATGACCCCTCCCTGGCGCCAAAGCTGGCTATATGACCCCCCCCCCCCCTGGCGCCAAAGCTGGCTATATGACCCCCCCCCTGGCGCCAAAGCTCGATCCGCCCTTGCGCACCGGCCACTTAATGCGCCGATACAAAACGCCGCCACACGTCACTCGCGCGATTCGCCACCTCTCTCTCCCTTACCTTAGTCGGCCGCTGTCGCGCGCTTCTGCCACTTTAGTAGCTGCTTCTAGCTTCTCGTGGCGGCGTTTGTGGCTGTGGCGTGTGGCCCGTGTGCGGCGACACTAAACGTCTTTTCCTTTTCTTAAACTTCATGATCAATTACAGCATCACGTAATCTAAGCATTATTTTATCTCGTAGCGTGCGCTTTTCAAACAAATGTTTGCACATCGTGTGCGTTCGCGTTGAGTTCGTGGCAAATCCTCGGCGGACATTTTGTTGACGATTCAGGGACTTTTGTTCTCTACGGATACATGCATGTCCTTCGTATGCGCAGGCCATAAGCTGGTCGGCTGGCTAGCCGTTCCGATTGCGGTCCGTGAGACTAGTCAGGTGACGCTGTGAACGGAGAAGCCCAGGATCGGCTAAAGGGGGTGCGGACCGGGCTGCCGGTCGGAGGCGGGGTGGTTTGACGTATGCCACGCTTGCGTGAGTGCACGTCAATGTATACCCGCACCGACTAGCGGCCCTCGGGCTGCTCCCCGCTTGACATATGCACCACTCAATTGCCTGCGTCGCGAGGGTTTGTTAACAGCAAACCAAAACGTGGCGTTGGTCATTGTCGTGGATATAATGCATTTTTTCATCGAAAACAAAGAGCCGTTACTATCACTTGTTGCCGCCTGCACGTCTCCTTTCGTGAAATATACGCTTAGTTAAATTGTGTTAATTCAACAATATTTCATTTACCACAACCGCGATATTTTCTTACAAATATTCAATTAATGACAACCTCTGTGGTGGATACTGGTTTTCAAGGCATTATCTACTGTCCTGTACCCTTAGTACGAGTTTTACAATTACGATAACTATGATAGTTTTCGTGAGCTCAAACTCGTACTAAGGGTACTGATTTTATTGTTTCTGTTTCAATACAAATAAACAGTGTTTAAATTATATCATTAAATCGTTTGCTACTTCTTAAATTTTAAGAATATTTGGTTACTTTTCACCAAAATGGACATAGAAACATAATTTACAATTACGAAAAATATGCTAGTTTTCGTAAGCTCAAACTCGTACTAAGGGTACTGGTCCTGGGTACGATTTCGATAGCAGCAAATGATTTTAATATGAATATGAGCATTTGTACCTCAGTTACTTGTTGGCTGAAACATTTTTGTAAACTGTACTAGTTTTAACGGGTTAATGCACGAAACTTTATTTATTTATTGACGTTTCGTAGCCTTTTCAGGTCTGCTTCGTCAGAATACTGATTTTTTATTTAATTTTGTCGAGCTACCTTCGAAAGACTTTTATTGAGCGTTCGGTTATTAGTTATTAGTACTGGTTTATTATAAATAAATAAAGTTTCGTGCATTAACCCGTTAAAACTAGTTTTATTTAATGAGTGATGTGCGTGAACCACTTCGAAACAAATATAGCTTTTAGAAAAAAAAAACTCAGAAATTTGTATAAGCACTTACGTTTCAAATGGCATGTGTGTTATAATGGGGCTGCGGCACTTCTCACCATAGCCCCAATATCCAAAAAATCCTGTCAAAGTCACAGATAGAAGGACAATAGTCATACCTGGAACAGTAAAAAATTCTAAGTAACTTTCTATGACAATTGAATGAATTTTCAACGTTTTGCTTGAGAAAGTGCTCAGGTTTTTGTTATGTTTATGCAGGTAAACGAGCTGACGGTCCACCTGATGGAAATTGGTTAATGCCGCCCATGGACACCTGCAGCACCAAGGATACCACTTCAGGCATCTATTGCATTTAGTACATAAATAAGTTATTTTTTATTTTTATATTTTATTAGCTGTGCCAGTAAATTTCGTCATCATCATCAGTCTATTAATGTCCCCACTGCTGGGGCACAGGTCTTCCCTATGGATGGAGTATGGAGATTGGGCCATGACCCACCACCACGCGGGCCCAGTGCGAATTGGCGGGTGCTAACGACTGCAGATGCAGCCGGGACCAACGGCTTAACGTGCCTTCCGAAGCACGGAGGAGCTCGAGATAGTTAATTTTTGGTCACCCATCCAATGACCGACCACTGCGGAAGTTGCTTAACTTCAAAGATCGCAGCCGTATGCGCTAACTACTTGCGCCATCGACCTCCTGAATCTCAAATTTCGTACTGCCATAAAAAATAGGGGTTGGTCGTAGAAGGGTTTTTTTTTTGCGTTGTATGTATTTTTGTATGATGTGTCATAAAAAAATAAAAGAACAAAAAATTTTGATACAAAGAAAAATATTTAAGGTTGGACCCACCTTTAACATTTAGTAGGATGAAAAATAGATGTTGTCCGATTCTCAGACCTACTGAATATGCATATAAAATTTTACGAAAATCGGTCGAGCCGTTTCGGCGTGGTTCGATTCAGGTGTGACACGAGAATTTTATATATTAGGCTAGCGGCCCGCCCTCGCTTCGCTTCGGTGTAGAGCTGAAATGTAGACCACAGTTTTGTTCTCAGGCTTGTATTATATACAATGACATTCGTCTATGATTCCTCTTATACCTGCATGCAAAGTCTCAGCTCGCTCGGTTTAAAATTGACAAAGTTTCATACAAACTTTCATTCCCTATTTTATCCCCTTGGGGGTAGAATTGATCAAAATCCTTTCTTAGCGGAAGCCTACGTTATAACATCTACCTGCATGCCAAATTTCAGCCCGATCCGTCCAGTGGTTTGGGCTGTGCGTTGATAGATCACTATGTCAGTCAGTCACCTTTGAGTTTTATATACATAGATTTAACTGCTATAGGTAAACTGCTCAACTGATTTCTCGCCTGCGTGGTTAAGGTTGTGGGGGAGTACGTAAACGGGGATGTCGCGGTTCCGCATTTAACAGCGTAGAGGCACAATACATACAAGAGCAGTAGCGTAACTCAGCCGTTTTCTTGAAATAGATACCTACGACTGAGCGAAGCGCAGTGTTACCAACCCTTACCATAATTTTACCCTAAGTATTTTTTAAATTCCCCTAAAATCCCCTAAATATAGAAATTTATATGTACCTACTTATCTTATTATCTAAATTCTTTCGTTGCTCATAAATTAAAACGTTACATATTTAGTTACAGTAAATTATTTTATTGAATAAATACATTTTCCGAATGGTAATCAAACGAAAATGAGCTGACAGGCTGTTAAATCTTATTTAGCTGTTTTGATTGGTGGAAGGCAAAGAACTTTAGTTCATACAGCCTTAGGAAACAACCTGCCACACAGTGAGTTCAGTCGTTTCATATCGTGGTACGTTCCATTCTACGCACAAAACTGAAAAGAAAACACACGCTTTGTTTTTCGATTTAATTGAAAGTTTTGTTAAAAGCCCCTAAAAGAACCCCCAAAAAATTCCAGCCCCTAATAAAGTCCGTTTTAACCCTTCTAGCCCCTAAATCTGGGGGCAAAACCCCTAAGTTGGGAACCCTGGCGGAGCGCTATGGTTGGTACCTACAAAATGTAAAACATATTTGTGTAGATTTTTATTGTTTGTGTTTAGTAACGTTTAGTAATGACGACTAGATAAATTGACATTGTAATTAATATATTTCACATTTATTGTGTAAGAATAATATAAATTGTAATTGACTAGTAAGAAATATCACGTTTTAAATATAACGTAACATTGAATTGTCTAAGCTTTGAATGACAACCAAATAAATTGACATTGTAATTAATATATTTAACATTTAATTGGCTATTAATAATTGAATTTAAATTGTATAACCACAAAAATTTGTCGATGGGTAGGCTTAAAACCAGCTGCGCTGTGCCTACTCCTCTTTCCAAATCATATTTAATAGTTATATACCTATATAATAATAAGGTATGGAAATAAAGCACTTGTATTTGTATTCGGGCGCTAGTAGGAAGTTGGAGTACTGCTCTTGTATGTATAGTGGTAGAGGGTATTCGCAGGGTTATAGCGGATAGAATGCCGTAAACCGCGCGGACTGCTTTTCCGTTTTACACCCGTGGACTTGCGAGAGGCTAGGTGTGAGGTCCGTTCGTTGGTGTGCCCGTTAAAAGTGCAAACGCCTGTAAATAAAGGTTTTGCCAACGTAATAAAAAAAAGTTGCCGGTCGGAGTTGCCGCGCGTAGTATCTTAGCCGCGCTTCTTCTGATGTGCGCTACACCTATGTTACTACGTCTTTGATGATGAAAAGTGAAAATCCAATAGTGGTGTCAATTCTGACACGATTCTCTAAACCTAAACTTAAATTTGACAACAGCGTATCCTTGTCATTCTCTATACGGAAAGAAAAGGAGAGATTGATGTTAAATTTAGTTTTAAGTTTAGAGAATCACGCCAGAATCGACACCAGTGTTAGTAAACAAACTTCTTAGGCATCGACCATAGACACGGAAGTAGGAATTTTAAAAACAAAAACGCCTACAGCGCTAGTTTTTTGTCGGTGGTTTTGCTTAAGGAGTTTGCCGCTACCTACACATATTATACGCCTTACCGATTTGCAAAGCCATAGGAAAGTACAGAGGCTTCGTCATGTTATTCTCTATAGGCATGGTGACAGAAGCGCCATCTATGCTGTATAGGAGTATGCCCGTGAACTGAATGAGCCCAAAGAAGTCTTTGTATGCCGGTCTGTCTCTTATATCGCCTGCTTCCGATAGGCTGTAGTACATTGTGGTAAGGATGCATATTGCTTGAAAACAGAATTGAATTTGGTTTACTCTGGTTGAACTGGATCTTAAAGTTGAACTAAAAAATATCTCCTTATGAGTAGTTGAAACCCAACTTAAATATAATAAATATTTCTAACAGGCAAACCAATTACCCTAGCTCCAAAGTGAACACTGTAAGTATTGTGTTATGGGATATTAGGGCAAATACATACTACTGATACAAAATATACGTATATTTTGTATTAGTAGTATGTAGAGGAATAGGGATGATGACTAATTTTTTTTTCTTCGTTTATCGCGGGTAGATTATTAAAAAGTATTACACAAGTATTTTTTCTTTTTGCACATAATATTAACATTGCAGAGATATATTGATTTGAAAAGTCGCATGATGTCACGTTTTAGTACACTTTTAAGTAAAAATTCACTAAAAAGTGACGTCACCTACTCCCAAACTTTGACGCGCTATAACTTTGTCATTTTTTGGTTGATTGCCCAAAGAAAAAATACGTGTCTATCATTTTTTGATCATCTAACTGACGGACTAAATAGAATTTCGTTTCCTGTATCCCGTCATCACCCCTAATATAAACGCCTATGAATTAGGGGCAAATGCTCGTATTCATCACACAAAAATTTGCCCCACCGGGATTCGAACCCGGGACCTGAGTTTATACGGACACTTGAAACCCAGCGTACATATCACTCGGTCACGTAGGTCATCCCAAGTAATTAAAACAAAATTCTTTTATTGGACTCCCATTGATGAAGCCAGGGAAAATTACTAGCATAACGATGAAAAACAAGGGTAATAGGGCATTTGTCCGACCACCGTCGATGAACAATAAGCGAGTAGAGCTAGAAACGAGTTGGCGAGCAGCGGGAAGCAAAAGTGCAGTTTCGATAGTTTTATCGCTGGGCTATAAGACAAGCGACTGCAAGCGACTGCAAGCGACAGCAAGTACGAAGGGCGACCCGCCATGACAACGGCTAACTAGAGCCGAGGTCCGAGTCTCAGAGACGCCCCCTAGTTGAGCCGACCCCTCTGGTTCAGTGGTCTAGAGGCTCCAGCCGGAGAGGAGACTCCCCCCGTGAGGAGCTGCCATCTGCCTGAAATACCTCTAGAGGCACTCGCCAATTCTCGGCTTGAGGTCCCCTTAGGATCTCGCCGTCCCCAAACCCGGTGACGCTGTAAAGGTCATCTGCGACCAACAGCATACACACTCAAAAAAAAAAAAACAATTGTGTATAGCTTAATTAGGTAAATGGAACTTTTAATTACATCATACGTTTTTAATAATCTAATGAAAAAAAATACGTAGATAATATAAGGAAGGTAATTATTCGCCATATTGAAGTGTTAACACTAACAGCGGGGCTATTCTGTAAAATTTCCACGCGCGGATCCGATGCGGATCCGCGAGTTTCCCATATAGATTGGCGTGGAACCGCATCGGATCCGCGCGTGAAAATGTTACAGAATGTAGGCCCTGGTCCGTATTTCAGAGAATAATCCAATATTTTTGTTATAATTAATTTTCACGTACCTACAAAGAGATCAGCAATCAAAGAGAATGGAGCCAAATATTTCAGATTCGTTATCATGCTCATACAAAAGAATGGTACCATCACTATTAAAATATATATCCTTAATGATAGATGCCATCCCAATATCGTCGGCGACAATGACTCCAATACCTGCAGTAAGAAAAACATACATACGTTTAATGAATTCAATGCCTCATTCCTTCTTGTGTTGTTGTGAAAGTATAGTATCATTATCATCACCAGCCTATTATTACCTCCACTGCTTGGGCACAGGTCTTCCCTATAGATGGAATAGGGAGATTGGGCCGTGACCCATCACGCGAGGCCAGTACGAATTTGTGAGTGCTATCGACTGCAGATGCAGCCGGGACCAACGGCTTAACGTGCCTGCCGAAGCAGAAGCTCAAGATAATAAGTTATAGGTCACCCATCCAAAGAACGACCATTGCGGAAGTTTCTTAACTTAAACGATCGCAGGCCAATCCAACCATCTGCGCCATAGAGCTTCTCAAATATCATCATCATCATCAGCCTATTAATGGCCCTACTGCTGGGACACAGGCCTTCCCTATGGATGGAATAGGGAGATTGGGCCATGACCCACCACGCGGGCCCAGTGCGGATTGGCGGGTGCTAACGACTGCAGATGCAGCCGGGACCAACGGCTTAACGTGCCTTCTGAGCTCGAGATAGTAAATTCTTGGTCACCCATCCAATGACCGACCACTGCGAAAGTTACTTAACGTCAACGATCGCAGCCGAACGCGCTAACCACTTGCGCCATCGAGCTCCTCATCAAGTATAATATAATAAAAAGTAAATGCCCAGTAAATAACACAAGGACCTCCCCGAATTCTCCGATCTACTAATCCATTCGCAGCAAAGCACTTATAAGTGCCCCGGCTTTGTGCGGGTCAAATTAATTTTAATGTGATAAAATAAAGTTTTTGTTACTCAGGAATAATGTAGAATTCTAATAGTGAGTGGTCCAGTATTATTTAAGTTTATTCATTACAAACATACAAATCTCTTCTCTTTAACAAAATTATTACAGATTTACCTGTTTCATAGTACTAGCGATCATTATTTGGTATATACAACATGTTCCACAAACTTCAGAGAATAAAATCACGTCCATTGAGTACCTGAAAAATTATTGAGAAATCCACCATTCTTATACAAGAACTTTGGGTTATTTCTTATGTTTATGCAAGCAAACGAGTTGACGGTCCATTGATGGAAAGTGGTCACTACCGTCCATGGACACTTGCAGTACGAAGGGAACATTACTTCATCGTTGCCGGCTCTGAAGGAAAAGATTTATCCTCCTTTTGAAGAACGCCATATCATAGCTGAAAGGGAAAACCACTGAGGGAAGTTCGCTCCAGATCTTGCTGGTACGTAAGATAAAAGAACGCGCGTGTCGCACGCTGTGCTAGAATGCCAAGCGTCCAGTGGGGTGAAACTTCTTTCTGCGGGATGTGGAGCGGTGAAGGATCTTGGCTACTGGCTCAGAATACAGAAAGAGGTAAGAAGGGCCCTGTGGGTGGCACAGGTGCGCCACAGATATAATTGAGCAAATTCTCTCGTGTGTGGCGGCCACTGGCGTATCGTATGTGACGAGTCCATATAAAATATATGAAAACTACAAGAAATATGCCGGTGGCGGCGTTTTGTGGTTAGCAGGATATTTATAAAGGATCGGTAATATGCACATGTATCAGTAATATGCACAAAACACAGAAAAAGATTAGAAGGCCCTTGTGGGCGGGGCCGGTGCGCCACAGTTGTGTAAGCAAAATCTCATCATCATCATCATCATCATCATCAACAGCCTAAGTCCACTGCTGGACATAGGCCTCTCCAAATGCACGCCACTCAGACCGATCTTGGGCTACTGAATTCTCATAACTTGACCAAAACTTGGTTCTGATTGCATCGTTGCTCCCGGGTGTGAGCGCTGATTGGAACTATTGTTTGATGTCGCGTCGTTTGATTGGCTATTATCTATTAAGTGGAAGTGTAGTAGCCGAGACGGCGACATCGGTTCCCGTTCAAACGGTCTACGATCACTCTCCTAACCTCTATGTGTTCTGTGGCCGCTGGCACCAGATTAAATAATTCCTCGGAATAATATTTAATTCTTAATTCATTTTTTACAAACTTTTGCTAAAATATCTACCTGAAAACTTTACTGTGTTTCCTGCAGCATCGCATAGGACCTGTCGCAATGGCTGCTTCTACCAAATGTGAATACGTTAGCCTGGGTACTCTTAATCTAACATATAACTTTTGCGCTGAGTAGACTAACATCTGGAATGTGAAAATTATATGTTTTGAGCTTTCCAATCTTAAAAAGTTGGATTCCTTCTTATTCTGCGTTTCTACTTAAGCTCAGAACAGTTTTGATCGAGCAAAAATTTGCTGGCTCGTTTGCAGTGGAAACATCAGATCGAGTGAACGAGTTCGTGCAACAATGTTTGACTGGACTCAGGAAACGAATGCTTTTCTTGATCAGTCATCCATAGAAGGAACGCAATATTGTTTTGAGCATTCCATTTATCGACTAAACAAATATTTGCTGGCTCCGAATTGTTCTAAGCACTGGGCAAAAACGCACAAACAAACAACAGCATTACAATTTATCGCGTCTGCCAAAATTTATAAAAGAGGCAAGAGCAGCGCGTGTTCATGTTCAATGATAAAATTTAGGTTTTTTAAAATATGCTTGTCATAAAGAAATTCAATATTTATATAGATTTTTTCATTGTAGGATCAAACTGAAATAAAACTTTACTCCTCAATTACCGTTTCACATAAAAATACCTACCTAATATATCTACTGAAATATAGAATTATCTTTTTCAAAAACCTCAGTAAATAACATAGCGGACTTCCGCAAAGATCAGTTCTCGGGCTCAAAACAACCCACATAGGCACTTCCTCAGCAATAGAGTGGTTGAAGCATGGAATAAGCTACCTAATATATAGTCACAGCGAAAAATACTAATTATAAATATTAGAATAGATATGACACTTATATTAAAACAAAAACATATTATAATATAAAACTGGATCCAGGCAATTATCATATTTCTCAACTTGCTGCCTGCATTATGTGTAAGAATAATACTAAAATAAAAAATTCAAGATAATACTTACATACATGGCATACGGAACGAGTGAACCAATTACAGCTGTAACTCCCAAGGATGCCCACAGACCACCATGCATGTATCCTACATGCATACTGAGAATACCAACTCCTAAACATCCTTTGACAATGTGGGATGTTGATTCCAATAAGCTGAAATACAGACATATTTATTTTCCTTGGAATGGTTCCATAATCAGCCTATTAATGTCTCAATTGCTGGGGCAGAGCCCTTTCATATGGATGTGATAGAGAGTTAACCCACCACGTGGGTCCAGTGCGGATTGGTGTATGCTAACGCTTGCAAATGCAGCCGGAAACATCGGCTTAATGTGCCCGAACGAATCACGAATACTTTCTCGTCCCTCGTAGGCGAAGCAGTGGTCCATAATATTTAATGATACGAAAAAATCAGCCATCGCGGCACATTTAATTGATTCGGGCCCAAATCACTGGATTGAGCTCCATAATCCACAAATTATTTCGACAGAATGCCACAACATACCAAGATTGGTCAAGGCAGCGATTTAAATAACCAAACACAAGAATTTCAATCGTGAGGATGGGTTTAAATTGTCAATGTTTGGAATCCAGTGGTTCGTATGTGTAATAACCGCAAAAATCAAAAAAGTGTCGTTCCGCGATCTGATACTGTGAGTATTGTGTGTCGGGAACAAGTGCAAGTGAACAGTGAGAATGTGACCAGTGGTAGGGGTATCGAGCGCAGTAAAAGACGATGTCAGAGGGTAGACCGATATGTCTGCCAATAACATCTACCCGCAATTACTTCAGTTACTCCGTGATCATGGCGCTTGAAGCAGTGCCGAAATATTGGAGACTCATAAAAAACAAGGTACATGGTAACAATCCCGTTAATAGCTATAATATAACATAATATTTAAATTGAAGTTCATTCTTTTCTCCTTTTCGTTTCAAAAAAGAGGAAAGCTTTACCTCTTGTAATTCTTAATTATTGTTGAATACCAATTTGTTAGATGTACTTACTTAGTCCCATTTACGTTTCTTCTTTCTAGAGTAAAGTCATACTCAGCTCTCTCAGTGCCGGGATACACTTCATGGTAGAGACTACTGTCTGATCTATCCAGAAAATCCGACAGTATCTTAATTGAATACAATGAGGAGACGTCATCCTGATGGGAATAAAAGCTTCTTGAATTTTAGAGTGATTTTAGCGTTTTTTTTTTAATTTCTCTAGCCTTTTTTAAACTGCAAGGCAATTCGACACGGCCAACAGGCCTCGGTAGCATAATGGTCAGTGCATTCGCCCGGATAGTGAAGAGTGCGGGTTTGAGTCCCATCTGCTGCCTGGTCCGCGTGCAATTTTTTCTAGTAAACTTTTCTTTAGATTGAAACATCTACGAGTTACACGCTTTAAAATAAAAAAAAATACTATTCTTCTATACGTTTTTTAATGAATTAGGTGTCAATTAAAAAGATTGTTGTGTGAATGTTAAGGTGGAAGCATTCGAATTATCCTAGGGCCAAATGGGCCATGGCACGGGGCGGCAGGCTGCGAGGGGCGGCAGAAGCTATAAAGTTTCGTTCATCTTCATCAGCCTATTAATGTCCCCATTGCTGAGGCACATGCCTTCCCTATGGATAAATAGGGAGATTTGACCATGGCCCACCACGCGGGCCCAGTTCGGATTGGTGGGTGCTAACGACTGCAGATGCAGCCGGAACCAACGGCTTAACGTACCTTCTGAAGCACGGAGGAGCTGGAGATAGTAAATTTTTTGGTCACCCATCCAATGACCGACCACTGCGAAAGTTGCCTAACTTCAACGATCGCAGTCGAACGCGCTAATCACTTGCGCGACCGAGCTTTCGTTACTAACCTGTTTATTGGTTTGATTTACTAATTCTAGAGGGGGAAAACTAAGGGGGCACAGAATGTCAGATTTAAAAAAAAATGGGTGCGTGTACTTATGTAGGCGCGTGAGAAGTTATCCTTCTTTGGCATCGTTTAAAATTAGTTTTTAATTGCATGCAAATAATTAATTACAATAAATTAATAAAAAGTCTGGAAAAGGACGAAGTCAATAAAGTTCAGTTTTAATTTGAAAAAATAAATGAATAATCAAAATATTCAATTAAAATCGCTACTGAATATAATTTATTAGAACATATGTGATTTGCACTTGTATGAAACTCAAACACGTATTCCGAATATACAAACTAGAAACATGTGGATAAATATTATAAATATGAATACCTATAACTGTTACTTTATTACAAAAAATAAAGATGTGGTTTTTGGTTCTACTACACCAATGGTCAAGAGATGGCGCTGTAGTCTCCTGAATCGCGCTTTGGTTCCGTTGTTCCAGATTAATAAATACTTTTGATAGGCCTTCACAATGCAGTCGTTAGCACCCACTAAATAGAGATTCTATTTCTATTTTGTTGGTAGATTTTCTTAATGTGCGGTAAACACAAAAGTAACGCATGAAGTTGGTCGCTAAAGCGACCAACTTCATTATGTTAAAATTTTGTGTTACAGTGATGCGCGCGCATCTTAAAATTTCACTCTCATCATTTTTTCATAACGCGCCTAAAGAAGTATAACTTCAAAAAAAAAAAAAGGCCTGTATTTGTCCGTACAAATCTGTTTTAGGTTGTATTGCGTATTACAGAAATAAACTACTTACATCTTTTGCACTGGAACTAGGCTGAAAGTGAATAAGAAATGAATTTAATATTAAAAAAGTATGCATTAACACTATCTTTAATAAAGAAAAGAAAAACTAAATAAATCTCAAAATTATAAATCAAGTATTGAGCGAGAGATCTAATTTCTCGACACGACCCATTTGTTTCTTCATACGGGTTTCATTTGACATGATAAATTGATAGCATAAAATTTTGTTTCAAAATTCACATATTAGCGTAGAAATAAAAAAAAAACAATTAGGGCTATTAGTATCTTAGAAAACAGGTAATCCTTAGAATACAGAAATTATTCACATAATACAAATTACTCACTTTGTTGCCTCCAGAGAACATTTTGATGTAAAATCGTAAAACTTGTGAACGACCAATTGCTGAATTCATAGAATTTCATGAGGAGCTGTTGAGTTTGTTCTGAAAGAAAATCTTTGAAAAACGAGTAAAATATTTATGTAGGAAATTGATAAGAGATGTCATAACACTGTCGATTGTCAAAACCAATGAGTTTATTTTTTTACCGGATGTGTGTCGTGGTCTTTAAAGTAGATCATAATAATATTGAGTAATTTAAATAATAATAGATATTTCCAACACTCACACCAATTAGCCTAGCTCCAAAGTAAGCACTATAAGGCTTGCGTTATGGGATACTAGGGTAACGGATAAAAAACATATACTGTACATTAATAAGTATATTTATATAGAAATACATATTAAACATCCATTACTGGAGTACAAACGCTCGTATTTATCATATAAACATCCGCTTCCACCGGGATTCGAATCCGGGACCTCTCGAGTCGGCGCACAGTCTTCATGAAGATCATGGTCAGACATCATGTAGTACGGTTCTTTGCTATGGATAGGTTATTTTTGTGCGATCTTCTATAAGTGTCGCCGCACACGGCCCACACGCCACAGCCACAAACGCCGCCACCAGAAGCTAGAAGCGGCTACTAATGTGGCTGATGCGCGCGACAGCGGGCGACTAAGGTAAGTGAGAGATGGGTGGGGAATCGCGCGAGTGACGTGTGGCGGCGTTTTGTATCGGCGCATTAAGTGGCCGATGACACTAAGGTGAAGGGTACCTCCCTAGACGGCCGCTCTAATTCGAGCGGGAAGTCTTTTATGCCTTACCTCTCTATTAATCCTAGAAATTATATTATATCGAGATAATAATTTCCAGCATAATTAACATAATTAACAACAATAAATCATCAACTCGATACATAAGACTGGACACTCATGTGCCCAGTTGGTGACACTCAAAATTAGTACCTATCATTTATTATTTCGTCATCTGGACACGCCAAGATTTTTAGGCGTATCCCTTTAAACATAACAACTACCACTCATCGAATAATGCGCCAACTTGCAAAGCTTCGGCAAAGGTCACAAACTAATATATATATTTTTCAACACAAAATGCATTTACCGAGTTGTATTGAACATTATTCGAAATTTCAAAATTGCGCTCCGGTATATGGTACCGTCAACGATATTAAATACCCTAGATGCACCACGAGCGCTCAAAATGTCCCAATCAAGAAGTGCTTGAACTCCACTCAAGCACTTCTTGGTTCACAGTCACGCGCAGACCGTTACAAAGTCAAGATGCCAAAGAGCTCCGCGAAAAAATGCGACAATAATACTTAGAGTACGAAAAGTGTCGTTTTTTCGACAGGTATCTGTTGAGGAAGTGGATCGTAGAAAGGAAAGACAATCAGCTCGTAATATTTAGTTTATGTAGTCCCAATCACATTACATTTTTATAGGTATACACCGTTGACGTATTTGCAAAAGTCCTAGAATGAAGTAACGGTGACATAGAGAACAGGCCATCGAGTCGCGCTAACAAGAAGGTTTTACATAAAATCATATTTTCAACACACCTCCTTGATTTTATAGAAAACAACAAAAAACAACTTAATACCAATATAACAACAACATAATAATTAAAGCACTTAACAAAAACAAAAGACTATCTGTCATTAACATTTCATTTGACATTTGCCAGTTCTCTAAGTTTTATAAATTTATTTTTTCCTAATGCCTTGGTCAATATATCCGCTAATTGTTTTTCTGTATGAACCTTTACTATATTAATAATACCCTTTTTCTCATAGTCATATACGAAGTGGTAGCTTATGTCAATATGCTTAGAATTTTTACAAAACTTTCCGTTCTTTGACAACGCAAAAGCCCCGCTGTTGTCTTCGTAAATTTTTACTGGATCCCTAATCTCAACGCCTAAATCGCATAACACACCTATTAACGGAAGTACTTCTTCAACACAGTCTGCCAAAGCATAATACTCGGCATGAGTTGATGCTCTTGACACTATTTTCTGTTTATGTGACTTCCACATGATCGGATTATTAAAAACTCTTATAAGGATTCCTGTCGTCGACTTCCTATCCGATTTATCTGCGGCCCAATCAGCATCTACATAAGCGTCCAATTGTTCTTCGTAGTCGGCGTCATAATTCATCTTTAAATGTCTCGTACAGTAAAGATATTTGAGAACTCGCAAGGCATATTTGAAATGAGTATCACTATAAGCATTTTGGAAACGACTCAAATAGTTAACGCTATAAGATACGTCTGGCCGTGTTCCACTCGCAACATACAGAAGAGCTCCAATCAAGTTTCTATACTTTAACGTTGCACTGACATCTTGACTTGGATCAATGCTTAAATTCATTTCCATTGGTGTCTCAAAGTTCTTTGATTCGATTACGTTATACTTTTCAGCTAATCTTACAATGTATTTTTCCTGGCTTAAAGTCATTCTGCCTTCTTTTGGTTCAAAAACTACATCTATTCCAAGATACTGTTTTACTTTGCCCAGATCTTTCATTCGGAATCTATTTTTCAATAGCCTTTTAACTTCGTCAATTGCCTCATTTTTCTCCCCACAAATCAAAATATCATCCACAGACAGACATAGATATATATTTACATTATTTACACACCCTGTATACAAACAATAGTCATAGTCTGACCTATTGAAATTAATGCTTGACATGAATTCGTGAAAGCATTCATACCAATCACGTGGGCTTTCTCGCAATCCATAAAGAGCTTTTTGTAGTTTGCACACTTTATTATTCTCTGTACAATATCCATCAGGTGGGTAAATATAAACTTCAGACTTAATACTCCCATTCAAGAATGCTGTCTCAACGTCCATTTGTTCAATGTTCCATCCTCTTACACATGCAATTGATAATAAAGCTTTCATTGTCGTCATTCGCGCTACTGGTGAATAAATTTCCTCGTTTTCTTCATACATCTGTTGGAAACCTCGTGCGACTACTCTTGCCTTATACTTCCCATTCGACTTGATCCTAAAGATCCATTTAACATCTATTATTTTCTTATTTTCTGGTCTATCAACTAAAATCCATGTTTCGTTCTTTTCCAAACTGTTCAATTCCTCTTTCATTGCATCTTTCCATTTATTTACATCTGGACTTTTTATTGCTTCATCATACGTATTTGTTAATATTCTATTACCTAGATATGCTGCAGTCATAACGCATTCAGGCCAATATTTCTCATTTATCTTTGCTTCTGTAAGCAGACACCTCGCTCTCTCCATTATGGTTCGGTTAAATCTTTCAGCTACACCGTTCAACTCGTGTGTATAAGCTGGCCCTGGTTTTAAATAAATACCTTTTTGCTTTGTGTAAGTGTAGAAATCGTTGTTAATATATTCTCCGCCATTGTCACATCTGATTTCTTTCACTCTCTTACCTGTTTGATTTTCCACCATATTTACATAATCTCTAAAACAATTAAAAACATCACTCTTGTTATTAATTAAGCATAGATAAGCTAACCTACTATAGTCATCTATGAATGACACAAAGTATCGTTGCCCCTTATATCCAGTGGGCGTAATCGGGCCTGCCACATCCGTGTGGATAATCTCTAACAAGTCTGTTGCCCGTCGTCTTTGATTTCCAAAAGGTAGATTTGTCATTTTGTTCATCAAACAAACTTCACATTGCACGTAACCCTCGCCTAAAGTGATAGGTAACCCATCTACAACCCTATGCCTGCACATTTCATTTGTCCTGTATTCACACTTCTATTGTTGTATCCTCCTCTATATCCTCTGTGAGTTCCTCGTCGTCCGCCTCCATATCCGCGTCCTCTACCACGACCATAACCACGCTCTGCTACCATGTTGAGGAAGTGGATCGTAGAAAGGAAAGACAATCAGCTCGTAATATTTAGTTTATGTAGTCCCAATCACATTACATTTTTATAGGTATACACCGTTGACGTATTTGCAAAAGTCCTAGAATGAAGTAACGGTGACATAGAGAACAGGCCATCGAGTCGCGCTAACAAGAAGGTTTTACATAAAATCATATCTTCAACAGTATCTAGTCAATGTTTGTTAATTTAACGCACTTGAAGCAAATTTTGATCTAAACTTACAATAAACTGATTTAATATAAAATATTTGTGATATTCAAATGCATGGTCGGTTATACGTCGCCATATAGCCGTCACTTTTCTTGCGGTCCGTGTCTGCTATAACGTTAACAGCGCGTTCAGAATAGGCTAGTTGACTCATGTCAAATTGCACTAAACAAATGTTTATTTCTTATAATTTTTGGTATGAGGAACCTAAAGACATCGATTTCACTTCATAAAATTAGAAGATGGCTGTAGTAATTTAATTTGAAAAACAGTTTTTTAGTCTATGCTTTTTAAACACTAAAAACGCTGTCCACCATGATTGTGACGTCAACATAATAGCAAAACAACTAAACGTCATTGTCATGTTACTGTGGATTATTTCGTCCGACTAAAATATATCTAAAAACTTTTAGGTATATCTTGAAGAAAAGTTTCCGTTTATTGGTTTTCTTAACTAAATTAATGCTGAACGCCGGATTTGTGAAAGCAGAAACGACAAAACCCTTTGACTTAGCAGGTACATTCATAACCTTAAAAAATTAAACCACAACATTTCTGGAGTTTTTAACGATGTGTTTCTTTATTCTCGTATAATACAATCATGATAATTACTATATTTATAAGGAAATCTATTAGAAATCATGGTTTTGTAATGTAAATTCAGATAGGTTATATCCTACCTGCTTGCGAGTGTTTGTTTGCTATTGTTCCCGTCATACATATATAGACTAAAATGGCCGACAGCGTTTTTGTATGTCCATGAAAAATCTATTTTAAAATTAAAGTTTTGTAGCTTTCTAGGTAAAAAAAAATTACAATACAAATTTTTTGGTCTAATTGAACAATTATTAACCATTTAAAACATATTTCCAAAAAGTGTCAACTAGCCTATTGCGCGTAGAGTCAAAGAAAGGTCTAAATTCTTCCGCATATAGCAATAAGTCGTAAATTTTATAAACGATCTATATGATCGTCTCACTTTAATACTAATAAAGAAAAAGAGCCTCAAGACGTAGTTCTTATTTTCACCATTAGCACATTGGCCATTTATTCTTAGAAAAAGTTTGCTTCATTATTTAAAAATTATACTGCTTTCTCGCAAATATATAATATGTTGAAAAACGTTGTATGATATTCGTGCGGAATTAGTATTTACAAACTCGGCGG